TTTGAATTATTCAGAGAAAGACATGAAGTTGACTTTTAAAAAATCACCTTCTTTTATTCATTTCTTCACTCATAGAGTGACCAGAGAGGTAAACACCTGAGCACAAAAAGTGGATGGGTTGGTCACATGGTGAGAATTCATGATGACCATTGAACAGCTCACATGGGCCATTTCTAACTATGTGACTTAGCGAAATAGCAAGAAAAGCCCCCAGTATCTTTGTTGATAATGGTGAACATTTTTTTTTATAATGGTATTCTGTGTCTGTTACAAAATGAAGATAGTTTTGGAGTTCATTGCTTATTTTTTCAGAGGGGAATAAAGCCCCATATTTGTTTTCAAGCGTAGTGCAAGATATGTTTCTTTCTGAAGTTTTAATCATCACAAAGCATCAGCTTCCAACTGACCGTGGCCAAGGGCCAACGCCAGAAAGTTGCTCTCATTTGGACACATGGACTCACAGAAAACCAGTAGTCAGTGGACTTTCTTGTAGCCATTTACTTTGGATCCTGACCCCTGGATTTGGTGGCCCTGGGCCCATATGACAGCCTTTGGGTAAAAAAGCAGGAAGCACATCTCCCTGATTATTTGTGCTGTTTCCTTAAGTACCAGGAGTCTTTGTTTTTGTTTAAACAGAAACAAAACAAAACAACTCAGATATTAGATTTTCATTAAGAAAATTTCTAGTACCTTGAAATGATTTTAACTGCTACCTCAGAGAGACGAGATGAGAATGGCCTTTCTTCTTTGCCTAACCAAGCCCTACCTGCCCTGGAAAGCCCTTGACCAGGGCGTTTAGTCACTGGAGAGTCTCTCAGATGGAAAGCAACAGACAGGGCATCCCTTCCAAGCCCTGTGTGGACAAGAATCCCAGCAAAGTGTGCTTGACAAATGCCTCTCATGTTGACTTGAAGACCTCCAGTGCAGGAGAAGGAAGCCATTACCTGCCAAGGCAGGCAAGCCCAGTCCATGCTTCCTTCCCAGAGAGCAGAAACCAGCTACTTTACCGCCTGAATCCAATGCTCTCCCAACTGGACGCTTAGCTTGGATTCTGTCTGTAAAAATCCAGCAAGTGCCTAATTATGTTAAAGGATGGAAGCTCTCCATAAAATCATTGAGTTAGTGTGGGAAGGGTCCTTAGAGGAGGTCATTTAGGAAGAATGGCTTATTTTGTGAGGAGTCTCAAGTCCTGACCCCAGGTGCCACGGAGGAGAGGCCAGGCTTGGAGGGCTGTGCTACACAGAAGGCATGCTGGGCCAACGAGGCACAAGGTCTCGGTTCAAAAAACCAGCTTTTATGCTTACGATCTGTGGGACTAGGTGGAGGTCACAGCCTATGTGCCTCCTTTCTTTGTCTGTAAATTCAGGAAGGAAGAGGAATGGATGACCTCCATGGCTTCCTCCAAATCTGATAGATTTATGATCCTTTTTTTTTCCCTTTGCCAACCCAAGATGACAAAACATAGCAATCCTTTATTTGTTCTCTGGCCACAGGACCCCCATATGGAAGTGCAGGCCTTTTAAACGCTTGTCAAATATTTACCAGTTCTGGTTTATAATGGATCTTATAAAGCTGTCTGTCACTCATGTTGTCTAAGGGGCTTTGCAGCTGCTCCTGCTAGGGCTATCCATACCACACCCCCTTCCTGCCTTGTCTTCTCTGCTCCTCCGGCCACTGCTCTGGAGGACCCTTACCCCAAGCCCTGAGCACAAAGTGAAATCTGGAAAAAAAAATGAAATGCCTGCTGCTGGCTCTCCTTCCTTCCTCCCCTCTCTCCTTTCCTCAGTCCATCCCTTCCTCTTTCCTTCCCTTCTAAACTTCCCTTTCTCCTTTCCTCTCTCCTTCCTTTCCTCCTTCTCTCTCTCATTCCTTTCCTCTTTCCCTCCCTTCCTCTTTTCTTCTCTCCATCCCTCCTTCCCTTTCTTCCTTACTCACTCCTTCCCTCTGTCCTCTTTCCCTTTCCTTCCCTCCTTCCTCCTCTCTGTCTTCCTCCCTGAATACTTGGCAATTGATAATAAATTCACGAAAAAGTAGCACCAAATTCTGGAATTACTGGAAAATACTTACACTCAGAAATATTTTTGAGTACAACTAATTCTTTTAAAAGAAAGGAAAAAGTATAATTATTGTTTGTTTGTTTGTTTTAAACCGAACATTGATTATCTTGGATGTGGAAGAACTCAATGAGCATTATAAGCGTGCAGAAAACAGACCATCAATATTGCTTCAGGGAGTTTCTGAAAAGTCTTTACTCAGAGATGGAATTTGCAAGAAATGCTAGGATTAAGAGTATCTTAAATGCCGCTGCTGCTGCAGCTGCTGTTGCTATTACTATTACTGCTGCTGCTGCTGCTGCTACTACCACCACTATGCTGATGAGGAGGGGGAAGAGGAAGAAGAGGAAGAGCAGAGGCAGTAGCTCTGGCTTTGAACTCACAGATACTTGTTGTAAGCCTAACTCTGACATTTACTTTCTGTGGGACCTGCAGAAATTCATTTGACCTTGTTCAGTCTTAGTTTCCTCACTTGTAAAATAGGGATAATAATAGTGCCTTCCTCACAGCATTATTGTGAGGATAAAATAAGTTAGCGGACATAAAGTCTTTACAGAATTTAAGTTACTAGAAATAAATTCATCTCTTATTATGCAGAGCATCTGGGTGGCACAGATCTCCAGGCCTGGACTCAAGAAAACCTGAGTTCAAATGCTGCCTCAAACACTTGCGAGCTGTGCGATACTGGGCAAATCACTTAATCCTGTTTGCCTCAGTTTCCTCATCTGTCAAATGATTTAGAGAAGGAAATGGCATACTGCTCTAGTGTCTTTGCCAAGAAAACCCCAAATGGGCTCATGAAGAGTCAGACACAACTGAACAAAATTACTAATGATGATGATTTCAGTTATTTCTACAGCCAATTTGAACAAGTTAATGCTATGCTCTTCCTTTAAACTAGCCAAGGGAGCTTGGTACCAAATCTCAGCATTGACCCACACCATATCTCCAGGTGGAGCTTCAGGGACCCTGTTACAAATCAGCATGAGTCAGAGATTTATTATGCCCTTTAAAAATGTGTTTTTATCACCAGGTAAATCTAATTGTGAATCAAATGCCAAGATTGTGAGTAGATTTCAGTTTTTGTGCCAGTTTTTTTTAATGACTAGATGAATATACCTTTACATGAGATGGGGGTCAGCAGGATAAGCTGTAGACTTCCTTCCCATTATAAATCAACAGTGGTCTTCTCTCCAGTATTAAACACCTCTGCTTGGCTATTCGTGGTGATCTTCTGGGAGTCTGTGATAGCTACTTTCCAAGGATGGTTTTTGTTATTCTCAGCTCTAAAGAAGAGTCGTTTGTGCTGGCCTCTCCTTTTCTGCCAAACTGTAACTATCACAAGCAGAAGGGTTTGACTCATAGAGCTTCAGAATAAGGGAGAGACAGAAAGGCACACAGAGAACTACACCAAGACAAAGCGATAGAGATGCACGGAAAGAGAGAGAGCTGTAGACAGAGATACAGAGCAACACACACACACAGAGGTGTAGACACAGAAGAATAAGAGGGCGTAGACATTCTCTCATCCCATGCCACAGCCCCTTTTTCAAAAGTGTAGGGGAAGTGGACAGACCAGTGTGGGTTTCCATTCATTATGGTTGCTAAGCTGAGGCCTCAATGGGACTGGCTTTCCCCTAAGATTACTTCCTGCCAGGTTTTAGTGAACTCTGCATTCTTTTGGTCTTTGAAGTGGGATCGGAGGTTTAGAGTTGGATAAAAGCTACCCCCACTCCACCTTGTTCTTCTGTTCGTTCTTAAAGCCATGCCTTCATAGCAGTTTCCCATTCCCCCTCAGTCTTTGTTCATGGGAAAGTCAGTGCACCCCAAAAGTATTGAGCCCATCCCAGCCAGGCCACATGGATAATTTGCCCAGAGATTTCATAGTTGCCTTCATAAAAGAAGGAATGTGGCTCTGGGCAAGTCGGCCCTTGGAGACACCATGGTCTGATCTGTCTGGTGACTGCAGGTCCACTTCTCTGGGCAGAGACACTCAAGAAAGGGCTCAGGTCTGTTCCTCCCATCAAAAAGTTGTAAGAAAAGATGTTTTCAGGAGAATTTAGTTATTCTCATTAAATGAGATCATAAACTCCTGCCTGAACTCATTATCATCGGAACCTTGGCATGATCCAGAGCACCCCATTATTGTCCCACTAGCCAACCCCCAAATGCTCAGTTACTGATTGTTTGTAGAAAGCAACTAATCAGGGAACAGCATTAAAAGAAGGAAAATAAAACAACTCATGCCTGCAGGAAATTACACAGATTGCAACAGTGCCAGGGGAAAACAAAAATGTATATTCAAACTAGCGAACCCCAGTGCTGTGGGGCTGGCTTTCTTCCTGAAGATGGTGACGGATTGCACTCATGCTCTGGTCGCAGGCAGGCCATGTGCCCACAGCCATCTTTCCATGTTTCTTGGGCAAGGGTGAAGCTGCCTGGCCTCCTGGGCCTCTCCCACATAACAGGAGGCCCAGGAGCAGAGAGCATCACTCTGGGGTGTTTGACTCTGGACACTGAGAATTAAATATCAGTTCTAAGCAGTCACTCATCCTCCCCTATTCTCTCCAGGAGGCAAAGGATGAGAATGGTTCTTCAGAGATTAGACTTGGGTCTTAAAGAAACATGGCATCAAGATCAATGGACGATGGAGGCAATCTGAGATCTCTCATTGGGGTTCCCTTGGGTGGGGACACACAGGCTGCCATGCTTGTTCTCATTTATTCTGGTTTCTGAACCAAATCATTGGATTTCCCATGGGTCAGTTCTCTTTCCTGAAGTGAGAGGGCAAGAGCCAGCCTGTGCTTCTTACGGTGACGCCAGGGGCTTGGTCCTTGAGTGTAGATGCTTGAGCTTTCCCAGAAGTTTTAAATTAATCCTTTTTTTTTCCTGATACAAACCTCTCCCTACTGTCTATCATAATGTTTCTCTCTCTTTTTATTCCAGGCCTTCTGCCTTATCAAGTAGCCCAACATATTCTGACCTGCCCTTCATTAGAATCTCCCCACACAGAAACCCAGCAGGCACTTCTGAGTCACCCTTCAGCCCCCCGCATCCGTACATCAACCCTTACATGGACTACATCCGATCCCTGCACAGCAGCCCGTCTCTGTCTATGATCTCGGCGGCCCGTGGCCTCAGCCCCACGGATGGTGAGTCTGTGATCAGCTATCATTGTGTGGTCTCTTCTCACTGGACTGCAAGCTTTTATGGTCATCTTCCCCCATTAGAATGTAAGCTCCTTGAGGGCAAGGACTATCTTTTTGGCTTGTGTTTGTATCCCCAGTGCTTGGCATAGTGTCTGGCTCTAGTAAGCACTTTATAAGTAAATGTTCTTCCTTCTTCCCTCCTTCACTTCCTCCTTCCCTTCTTTCCTCCCTTCCCTCCATCCCTCTCCTTCTCTCCCTCCTCTTTCTATCCTTTCTCACATCCTTTTGCATTTGGCATGAGAAGTGTGATAAGTCATTTGAGGATAGCTATACTCAGACTGGAGGTCAGCAGCTTGTTTTTTTTTTTGTTTTGTTTTTCTTTTTTCCCCTTCTCTGGAGCCTTGCATTTTTAGAGGATGTGTTTGTGTTTCTTTAGTAGAGAATAGGACTTATTTCTTAAAAAATAGAAATCTATATTTCCCTGCCTATCAATCAAACAGCCAATAAGCATTTATTATGCACCTACTATATGTCAGGAATAGTGCTAATTTCTCTCCTTATTCACTTCACATCAGAATAGTCAGTGTTCTTGTGGAGCAGTAAATGGAAGCAGAATTGTCAGGATTCTGATGGGGTACAGAATGGCACATAGTAGGTCAAGTGCTGGACCTTAGAGCCAGGAGACCTGGATTCTAATCCTGTCTGTAAGGGCAAAGTACTTGTCACTCTGTCCCCATTCTCTATCCAGTCACCACCTAACTTCCAAAATGATTTGCCTCAAGTGCAGGTCTATCTATATCTGCAATATTGACTCAGCGTCAATGACCCTGATTATTTCTAAGCTCAAAGAGAAGCTCCTCAATTTGACAGTAAAAGCCTTTCACCCTGGCCCATCTCATGTTCCCAGGCCATGTACACTATCCCGTCTCCTACCCCCATGTCTCTGTACTGCATGCCTCTTGTTCCTAGAAAGCCCTCTCTCCTCACTTCCACCCAGGTAGTGGATTTGAGAGCCAGACCCTGGAAACTGGAATCCTTCAAATCCAAGTGCCACTCCATGAGACCTTCCTTCCTTCCTCCCTCCCTTTCTTTCTTCCTTCTTTCCTCCCTTCCTTCCTTCCTTCTTTCTTTCCTCCCTTCCTCTCTTCCTTCCTTCCTCTCTTCCTTCCTTCCTCTCTTCCTTCCTTCCTTCCTTCCTTCCTTCCTTCCTTCCTTCCTTCCTTCCTTCCTTCCCTCCTTCCTTCCTTCCTTCCCTCCTTCCTTCCTTCCTTCCTTCCTTCCTTCCTTCCTTCCTTCCTTCCTTCCTTCCTTCCTTCCTTCCTTCCTTCCTTCCCCTCCCTCTCTTCTTCTCCTCCTTTCCTTCCACACTACACAGGACTACCTTACCTTCCACATTAACTCTTCCCTGAACTGAGTGGAATCATACAGACCCTCACAACATAGTGACCTAAAATTCTTAAAATTTCACTATGTCCCAGTAGCAGTCCATCCTTTTGGAGAATGGGGCACAGGCTGGTGATATAGGCTGTGTGCTTAATAGCCCTTCACCTTGAGAGATGGAGCAGATAAAAGCATTGTCCAAGCAGTGATGAGACTGAAGTAGAATCCCCCTTGTTGCCACACCATTGTATTTACTTTGAACAAGAACTGTGATTTCATTGCAATAAGGAATTTCCAGTACAGGGATTCCCCCACCACATGTAGTTGGTAGCTGCTGGTGAGTTGCCCTGGGGCAGTGAGAGATGAAGTGTCAGCCAGGATGTGTCCCAGGTAGGCCTGGCATCCAGGTAAGGTCTTCCTGACTCTGAGGTGAGCTCTTGGGCTATGTGCCACCACATGGCCTTTCTTACATCTCATGTTGGTAGTCCAGAAGGAGAAAGTGTGCTTATTTCTCTAGTTTCCCTGGATGCTTGAACTTCCCATGGTTGACTTCAGCTGTCAAGAGGATGGGAGGACAAAGGAGGAGAAGCTGAGATATCAGGAAAGGAAATTCTGATAGTTATTCCATCCACAGACAATAGAAGGGGAGACAGAGTAGCTGAGGGGAATTTAGGACCAGGGCCAGGGAAACCACAACACTTCCAGATTTTGTGAATTTAGCCTCAAGGCTGGTGTAAATCATGGTCCTGTTTGCCCTTCCCCTACTTTAATTATATGGGTTAGCAATGAAATGGATTTAATTGTATAGCAGCACTTTGATGGCCAAGCTATGCTGCCTCCCAGGTATTTAGCTAATAATAATAAAATTAGGATAGCTTATTTTTCTCAGTCTCAGGTGGAGTATTTTATGTAAGCCTCATAGAAACCCTTTGAGATTAGCAAGCTAGGTATCATCAGGTGGTTGATAAAGTGAATACTAGATCTGGCATTCAGAAGCCCTGGGTTCAAATTCCACCTCTGACCCTTAATAGCTGTGTGACCATAGGGAAGTGATTTGACTTTTCTGGGCCTCAGTACTCCCATCCATAAAATCAGGGGAGTGGCTTCAGATCAGAGGTTTGTAACCTTTTAATGTGTAGTCACTCCTTTTGGTGTTTTGGTGAAATCTCTAGCCCCCCTCTCAGAATTTTGTTTTTAAATAGTTGAAAGAAATTCTAGATTTCAGTTTGAGATTGGTAAAAAGAAAAGATTATTTTTTCTCCATCTGAGTTCACAGGCCCACTGAGATCTACCCATAGATCCCTGGCTAAAATCCTTGGACTCTTGGGTCCCTTCTGGCTCAATGTCTCAGATCCTCTTACCTCTCTGAGACTTGGTCCTCACAGAAGACCTCAAAGTTAGGTAGGGAGGAATGGACTAAATTCTTGATTTAAGGAGTAAGTAAAGAAGATAAAAGAGTTCAGTGGCTCTCTGGGGTAGCCAAGAACAAAACAGACTTGGGTTCAAGTCTTACCTCTGACACTGGCTATGTGTATGGCTATGAACAAGTCATTTTACCAATCTGAGCCTCAATTTCTCATTCATAAAATATGAATAGTCATCCTGGTAGCCCTGGCCTGACTGGGGTATTGGAATGAGGAAACACGTAGATCACTTTGAACATTTTAACTTGTTCTATAAATATTGGCTATTATTATCATTATTCTCTTGGAACCTACCATGGTTTCCATGCATAGAAAATGCAAAAAAAGGCTAGGTGACAGCCCCTTCTTCTCCCCTCCTCCTTCTCTCACATCTCCCAGGTACTTGCTTTCTGCCACTCTCTCTTCCTACAGCCCTGTCTCGAATGAAGAAGTGGCCCTTGACCTTGCCAAGGCTAACCCTCCACATACACAAGTGATTCCACTCCATCCTATCTTCTCCAAGAGTTTGCCTCCTCTGTCATCACCACTGTACCCCTTATCATCATCATCATCATCATCATCATCTTATATTTAGATATAATGTAATCTCATGATAGTAATAGCCTAATATTATAACTAGTATTTATTTAGCACCCCTAAGTGCCAGGTACTGTGCTAATCACTTTACAGATATGATCTCATTTTATCCTCACAATAATCCTGGTAGATAAGTAGGTACTGTTATTATCCCCATTCTATATATAAGGGAACTGAGGCAAACAGAGGTTAAGTGGACTTGCCCAGGGTCATACAGCTGATAAGTGTCTGAGAACAGATTTGAACTCATCTCCTTCCCTGTTACTGACAAATACATTCATGACTCCCTAATAAAAAGATGGGGAAAAAACAGACTTGAACCATCCATTCCTGCTAGTTATCTTTCTAGACCTCTCCCACCTTTTGTGGCTAAATTCCTTGAAAAGGCAATCTACAATTAGTGACTCTACTTCCTTTCCTCTTCCTCTCTTCCTAACTTTCTGTGGTCTGGCTTCTGACCTTATCATTCAACCAAAACAGCTTTTCCAAACTAACCCGTAGTCTCTGACCCTGTCAATGACCACCTTCTCCACAAGACCTGGTCCTCCCTTGGTTTTCATGGCATTTCTCCTGGTCCTGGTTCTCCTCCTACTTCCTGACTTCCCCTTTCCAGTCTCCCTGCTAGTTCTTCATCCAAGTCACAAACACTAATCATGTGGGTCCCTTCAAGGATCTCATGGACACTTGACACTTGGGTTCAAGTCTTACCTCTGCCAGTGGCTACACGTGTGGCTAAGAGAAAGTCATTTTTACCAATCCGAGCCTCAGTTTCTTCATTCATAAAACATAAATAGTCATCCTGGCAGTGCTGGCCTCACTGGGGAGTTGGAATGAAGGAACATTGTCTCTCTCTATGCTATCTCATTAAGTCTCATTAACTCACCTGGTTTCAATGATCATCTCTATGTAAATGATTCTCTGATTGATACATCTAGCCCCAACCTCTTTCTAATCTCTCATCTCACATCATCCGCTGCCTTTCCAACCCCTTGAACTAGATGTCCAATACACAGCTCCAACTCAGCATATTCATAATAAAATTTATTCTCTTTCTTCCCAAGCTCTTGCTACTTCTCAAGCTTTCCTCTCACTGGTCAGCACACCACCATCCTCCTAGTTACTCAGGCTTTGTTATCAACATTGGTATCCCTATTGATTCTTCACTCTCTCACCTCCACCCAAGCCAAATCTTGTTTCTCCTTTCAGAACATCTCTGATCAACTCCTCCTTCTTTCAGATGAGACTTTCACACCTGGATGCAGGACCTTATCACCCCATGCCCAACTATTGCAATAGTACTCTCACTTAGCTCCCTCCCTCAAGCCTTTCTCCCCTCCAGTCCATCTTCACTCATCTCCCACAGTGATCTTTCTAAAGCACAAGTTTGACCATGTCACCTCTATGTTCAATATACACGAGGGGCTTGCTATAACTTCCAGGATCAAATATGAACCACTCTTTCTGGCTCTGAAAGCCCTCCATAGCCTGTCTTCTCCCTCCCTTTCCAGTCTTCTCACACCTTGCTCCTTTCCATGGACTCTGACCCAGTAACGCCAGGCTTCTTACTGTAGCTCACTCACGATTCTTAGCCTTCCATTTCCCTTCCTTTTCACTGATTGTCTCTCATAGCTGGAATGCTCCTCTTCCTTGTCTTTGCCCTCTGTCTTCCTAGGCTTCTTTCGAGGCTCAACAACAATGCCAACTCCTTCAAGAGGCCTTTCCTGGTCTCCACCCCACCCCTGCCAATGCCTTCTCTTTGACTCTATATATGGCACATGCACATACATCATAAGTCATTGCCTCCATTAGAATGGGGAGTTCTGATGACAGGGACTTTGCTTTTACATTCTCAGAACTTAGCCTGGTATTGGAATATAGAGTCAACATTGAACATATGCTTGTCCAGTGACTGTGTTCACAGGGATACAGATGCAGTGGGATTTTTCTCCCAATGATCACTTGGAAACATTCCAAGTCATGTACTCTCCCATCTACCCCAGACTTCAAAATCTCAATAACTTGACTATTGCTAAGGAAATCACTGTATTTTTGCTGGGGCTTGGGAAGGAAAAATCTGTTCCAATGGCAGTTCACTCTCATACAAAATGTCATTTATCTATTGTGTCCTCCCTTCGGGCCTTTATGGGGCTGCTGTGGGTTTCTTCCAGGCCAGGCAGCCAATGTTATTGTTAGTTAACCCAGACACTTATGTCAGAAAACTCAGGAAGTATTTTAAGTGTGTCTGGAAAGATACTCTGGTTGTCTACTGCGGGAAGAAACTTTCAAACCAGTGGCTTGAGATAATGAGCTACTTCATTCTTCTTTGGCAAACATATGTTCTTGCTTGTTAGAGAAGGCTGGGGCTGATTGTATTCATCTCAGACATGATTGGAATTCTCCATGAAGAGCTAACCCAAGGGGGCTTTTTGGTCTGGGGGTTATTTTGTTTGAATTTCCTTCTTTTGGCTTTCCCTCATCCTTTCTAGTGATTTTAATTTCAGATCAAAGAAGGAGAATTGCCTTAGAACAGAGTTCACAATTGGGGGGAAAATTGTATGACTCTCCCTGGGGGCCAGAGTCTGTTCCTTGGCATGAAACCACAACATCTCCCCAAAGCTCATTAGGAACTTCTTATGCCGGCCCCATGATTATTCATTCTGATGTTTCATATCAACCTGCTTGTGAGCATGCTATATCCTCCCTGTAGAACATAAACTCTGCGAGGGCAGGAAGTGTTTGCTTTTGTCTTCTCAAGCACTAATACTTAGTATGGGCTGTGGCACACGGCAGGCACTTGATAAATGTGTATTTTTTGACAGCTATGTGCATGGGGATTGTTTTCACCCTTGCCCCTTGCGTATTGTGTATTTGGGCCCAGAGTAAAGAGAGAGTCAAAGCGATGGGCAAGCCTAGCCCTCGATCCCTTCTAGAAGGACAGCAGAAATGGGCTGAAATGTGAGCTTCTATGCCAACAGCTCTTCATGTTTGCCAACACTTCCTGTATCTTGCTCCATTTGATCCTCACAATTGCTCTATGAGGGAGAGAGTGCGAAGATTTCCATCCCCACTTAACCTCAGGCTGCGTCTCAGTTTCCCAATCTGCAAAATGGAGATACTCCTGTTTGATCTGCATCCATTTTTGTTGTTCTTTTATGAAATGGCACATCTGTGTGAAAAGTTTGGTTAAGCATCAAGGGAAACACCATTATAGGAGCTACAGAAAGAGAAGGGTGTTTTCCGATATATCTTTCACATTGGGTTTCTATCACATTTGCTGGAAGCAAGCTATATACATAAATACATATATACACAAACCTACAGACATATTCTCGGGTATGTGTATGTTACGTACGTGTAGACATGTACACGTGTTATGTACATGTGTTGTTGTTGTTTGCCTTTGGTCCTCGAAGAGGGCCAAAATGGCATCACTATGTCAGGATCACGGAACAGTGTCTGACTGGGGCTCATCAGACCAATACAAGCTCGGAAGGCTCTCCCACAGGTTGGGCACAAATAGTCTGTGTGCACATTTGGGACGGAGATGACTACATACAGACACATTTCATCATAGGACTATGAGGTGATGAGTGGGTCTGTGTGCTGAGGGGATGACTTTCAGTGACATAATTCAAAGATGGCCTCAGGGGAATGGCCGCATCTTATCACAGTAACACCCTGATAACCTTCATGAATGGAAAATATCCAAAATTCACCAAGTCTAAATAAATTCTCAATAGTTTTGAGTTAATCAGCTAGCATTTGTAAAGTATCTAGTATGTCCCAGCCACTGTGCTAGGTGCTGGGGATGTTAAAACAAGAATTAAGCAGCCCCTGCTCTCGATGAGCTTACTTTTTTCCTGCATTGAAAAGAATTAAGCTTTTTGTTTATTTGTCTTTAGTTTCATGTAACAAATAGTACTGGGCAGCTAGGTGGCACAGTGGATAGAGTGCTAGGCCTGGAGTCAGAAAAACCTGAGTTCAAATCCAGTATCAGTCACTTACTAGCTATGTGACTCTGGGCAAGTCACTTCACCCTGTTTGCCTCAGTTTCCTCATCTGTAAAATGAGCTGGAGAAGGAACTGGCAAACCACTGCATCATCTTTGCCAAGAAAAGCCCAAATCTGGTCACAGAGAGTCAGACACAATAAAGCAACAACAAAAACCAATAGCATCTTGAATACACCCCTTAACCAAGTGTTGCTCCATGCTGGACCTGCTTCAAAGGATAGAGAAGGGTTCTTTGTCATTAGCATCACTATATACTTACCTACTTTAATTTCTTAACAAGTAGTTTGTTAAACATCCTCAATGCTCATATTTGCTCTGAAGTCAGTTAGCAAACACTTGATTTATGGTGTTAGAGAGTAGCATTCTCTAGTCCAGGCTAGGTACAAATCAGCACTTAAAGGTGGAGACAGATATGTGAAGGAATGAGATTTTATTGTATGGGGATAGAGAGAGGATTGTTGATTTAGTCTACATGGAAGGTCTTGGCATTGATGTTTTTCGTGACTCTTGATCGATAATCACACATGACATGTTGCTCTCTGTCCAGCCCCCCATGCAGGTGTCAGCCCCGCGGAGTATTATCACCATCAGATGGCCCTCTTGGCAGGCCAGCGCAGCCCATATGCGGACATCATTCCTTCTGCAGCAGCTACTGGAGCTGGAGCCATTCACATGGAATACCTGCATGCCATGGATAGTAAGTCCAATAATTTGGGGGAGGGCTGGGGCTAGAACTTATTCATGCAACAGGAAAGGTGCTATTTTTATTGCATGCATTTACTCACACGTATATGTTTTCATGTTGAACTTTCCCTCCTCGAAATTCCTACATTGCCATCATTGACTCTGTGCTTTACCATGAAAGCCAGCAGGTACATACCACTTGAAAACTCAAAGAAGAGTCTGATTGTGTCATCTGAAGTTTATTTTTAATGCTCATCAGTTGGTCTAAGAGACAAAGAACCTACAATGATGAGTCAGAGCACGGACTGCCTGCCAAAGTGCTGGCATCTGAGAAGAGCATCCTCTGCCTCTTCCCAATGCCTGCCTTCTGTTGAGCATCTCCATAGTTGTTCAGCTGAGCAACCTAGAGATATGGGCCAGCAGGTGGGGGTGGGGGTGGCTGGGGAAGAGATTCTGTTAGAACTAGCTCTGCACCTTGGTGCAATTCTAGGAGCTCACAGGGGCCCTTTGTTTAGCTCCCAGACTCCCTATCACCAAGATGCCCAGAGGTAAGAGAGATGCCCTGGGCAAGATCCAATTTGTCTGCTTCCCTTCTTACCAAAGAGAAGCTCTTTCTCATTAGGTTATCCAATCTGAATTTAGTTTGTAAGAGCTTCTGAAGGGTCTGCACTGTGTGCAGTATGAACGTAGTATTCCTTCTGGACACATTCTTGCCCGTGACCCCCTCCCAGTACCACCATCTAGTTCCAAGAAGGCCAGCCCCCAGAGACAAGTCAACACCACAGCAGTGACCATTGCCCGTACACATTGTCTCTTTAATAATGTAAAATAGAAAGTATTATTCCGTAGCACCTCTCTTTAGAATAGAGGAGATTATTCTAAACCTCTCTGTGGCTGTGGAATGAGCTTGCCCACCTGCCATTTTTATCCGTCCTGGTAAGTCACATCTGGGAACAACTGGCCTCCAAATCAGGCATTAGAATTTTCCTTGGAGGGGCAGGTAGGTGGTACAGTAGATAGAGGATTGGCCCTGGATTCCGGAGGACCTAAGTTCAAATCTGACCTCAGACACATAACACTTACTAACTGTGTGACCCTGGCCAAGTCACTTGATCCTGATTTCCTCACCAAAAAGCAAAAAAAAAAAAAAGAATTTTCCTTTGACAACCATGTTAACTTCTCCCCTCTTTGTAGTATCTTGGCAGAGCCACTCAGAAGCAGGATAGTGGGAGTGATGATGGATAGTCAGGAGACCTGGGTTCAGGTTTAGGCTCCTTTGTTTCTGCGTGGTGACTGAGCCCTTGTTGAAGCTCCCTGCCCCCTGCTAGGCTCACATATTGCTTCTAAAAAATGGAGACAGTACAGTCAGCCCTGGCCACTTCACAGTATTGTTGAGAGGATCAATGGAAAACGACTTTATAACTGCAGAGATTTTATCCATTCGCCTCACTATCACCAGTGCCCAATCCAAACCCTCTCATCATCCATCGCCTGGGGGTGCTGTTATAGTAGTTGCCTAATGGGTCTGATGACTACCTCCACTCCTTCTCTTCTCCAAAGCCTCTTTCTCAACACTGCCAGAGTGATGCACCTTTGCCATAGACCTGCTGATCCTCTGCACAAACACCATCAGTGGCTCCCTATTGCCTTCCCCCTTGACTCCCTTTCAATAGCTCCCCATGACCCCTTATTGCTCAAAGTTCAGTTTGGTTTTTGCCAAGGAGAATCACACAATCTCAGAGTCAGAAAGGCCTCAGAGACCCCCTAGACCAATCCGTGCTTGAATAAAAACCCTCTCCATGTAATACCTGGCAAGTGTCATTTGGCCTCTGCTTGAGGACTTCTGCTAATTGGGAGCTCTCCACCTCCTGGACAGCCCATTCCACTTTCATAAAAATTTCATTTCAAACCTGCATCTCTGCACCTCCCCTGTACTGCTCCCAGCCCTCCTTTCTGAGACCCTATTCTCAGTGATAACCCATCACATACTCAGACATTTAGCATTTGCCCCTCCACTAAGCCTTCTCTACTCCGGCTAATTAAACTCACCCTGTTCTTTTAGTCAATTTTCATGTGACGTGATCTCCGCCACCCCTCTCCTCGGCTCTCCTTAATCCTGCTCCTCTGCTGCTTGGTGATACACCTTCTAAAACATGGTGGGTGAGTGCCCAAAACTCACCAGCCTGCTGAAGAGCCTCACAAAAATCCCACTCAATCCAAAGAGGATTGAGCAAGGGTCTACTGAGTTCAAGTCACTGTTGGGCATTAGGGAGGTAAGGATGAAAAATGAATAAAAAACCAAAAAGAAACAAAAATAACAGATTGTCGTGTGGTTCAGCCACACAGCCCCTGCTTTGGAATCAGAGAGCATGGGGCCAAATTTTGCCTCTGATGCTCCTTCCCAGGGTGACCCTGGACAAGTTAATTAACTTCCCTGGGCCTTAGCTTCTTCACCTGTAAGATGAGGGTGTTGAATCTGGCCTCTAGGGTCCATTCCTGCTTTCTATGCCCAGTCCTATATGCAATTCTGTCACTTATGAACTGTGTGACCCTGGAAAAGTCACTTCATCCCTCTTTGCCTCAGTTTCCTCAATTGTAAAATAAAAGTACTAACAGCACCCGCCTCGTGAGGGTATTGTGAGAATGGAATGAGGTGATATTTGTAAAGCGCTTTGCCGCTAGCGGCTACCGTTCAGAATGAGGTGCATGCAATCATAGACCTTCCAGGTTCATTTCCTCCTTTTACCCAAGGTCCCATGGGCAATAAACATTAAAAGTGGCACTTGAACCAAGGGATGCTGATTAGTGTGTGTCCGTTGCCCTTTCTGAAAAGGGACAAAAATCAGTCAGTCCATAAAGAAGCACCTACTATGCGTCCTGCCCTGTGCTGGGCATCTGCGATGCAAAGACCCCAAGTAAAACAATCATTACTCTCAAGGTGCTCACATTTGGGTGAGGGAGGGGGGAACAAGCGTTGATTAAGCACCTACTGTGCACCAATCACTATGCTAAGCCTTTTACAAACCTCCTATCATTTGATCTTCACGACACCCCTGTGAGGTCAGGAGATGGTATCAGCCCCATTTTACAGTTAAGGAAAGTGAGGCAGACCAAGGTGAAATGTCTTGCTCCCCACCCCAATCACTCCGCAACCAAGTGTCTGAGGTGGGATTTGAACTCTGGTCTTCCTGACTCCATCACTCCCTCCCAGTGCTCCATCTACATGGGCACATATAAGTATAAACAGCATAAATCAAAGATAGTTAAGTACGTATTAGCACATGCCATCATTTGCACATAATAGCATATAACAGTTGCCCTTTTTAGAGCACTTGAAGATTAATAAAGCACTTTTTGCATTTACCTTTTTCAAACTTCACAACAATTCTGTGAAATAATTGCAATAATGATCATTATCCTCATTTGAGAGATGAGAAAAATGATACTCAGAGGGCAAAATATAGTGACTGGTCCAAGATCACAGAACTAATAAATTTCAAACAGGATTTGAACTCAGGTATTCCTTTTTCCAAGGCCACCACTTTCTTCATGATACTAGATGATCTGACCTTTGGTGAGAAGGGCACAAGCCTAGACTTTTTAGATCTCATGGTCAGATCAGGTCTTGGACCAGACTTTTTCCTTGAAGTCATTGGGGTGAGTTTGCTCACTGTGGGGTCAAGTTTAGAAATTCAGCCTTTGGTGGAGATCCAGACGGAAGCCTCCAGTTACAGCATTTCTTACTCTGCACCATTAGTACCTGAGCTCCATCCCTGGACACACTTAGGTTCCTGTGTGTTTTCCCTAGGTACATGGACCATGCATTCTCTTCTTTCCCCCCCCAGTCTGATTTGTTGTTGCCTACTGTTGGGAGGGATGGGGGAGGGTGGGTATGCTGGTTAGTGTGTGTGTGTGTGTGTGTGTGTGTGTGTGTGTGTGTGTGTGTGTGTGTGTGTTTATCTTACATTTCGGATTCATCATAAACATATTTCAATTAGAGATTGTCTCAGCTTTGAAGGAAAAAAAAGAGTACATGTTATTATGCAAATTAGTTATTTTAAAACAGTAAATAGAGAATTAAAATAAGAGTGGGTGCTGGGAGGTCAACCCACATTACCTTCTGCATTTGATGAGAATGTGTTCAGTCAGACTAAGGCCTCTTTGATGTAAATAAAGGCTGAACTCACCCTTTTACTTTGTAAAAATTAATTAAAAGTATCCTAACTTGCTGGAGTCGTGGGTAAAATTGATTGTCATTAAGTAGGAATCTCAATGTTCCGTCATCCATCACAGAGAAATCAGCCCTTCTAGTCTTTGTCAGAATTTTAGATTACATCGGAGAAACAAAACAATTAGCATGAAGCCAAATTAAGATGTCTCTTTGGAACAATAATGGTGCCCCAATGCTCATTGCAGAAAGAGTCTGGTTGCTGCCAAATCCTGACTGTTTAGTACAGCTGCTGCACAGGTCCAGCCATTTATAATTCTGCAGTGGCTTCTAAGCAAAGATCTCAAAGCACCCCTAAGTCTTGGTCTTCCGCCTCTCCCACCGGGAGTGGACACCACACACAGGAAGGTGCTCAAAGGGCGCTCTCTTTCTACCATCTTTAAAACTGTAACGTTGAGTTTTGAGTTGGGCAGAACAGGACCTAGTTTTCTAGTTCAGAGGTGAATCCATCTTTAAAATAATGGATTATTTCTCTGACTTGGTAAAATCAGAGAATTTCAAAGGAGTTCACCAATCATCAATTCTCAAATATTTTCAAATGAAGTCATAGATGCAATGTTTTGTCAACCCTAAATGCGCATTAGTTGTTCTCACACCTGAACAAAAGACCTTCCACAATGTACTTGACAAGTGGCCATCTAGCCACTAAAAGACCCCAGATGGAACTGAGGAACAGGGCACCTGCCAAGGCAGCCCATTTCACTGTGAAGTAGCTGTAATGATTATCTTGCTTAAGCCCAAATTTCATTCTTTTCAGCTTGTAACCATTTCCTCTACCCTCTGGGGTCAAGCAGAAAAGACTGTAAGTCAGTCAATGAGCATTTATTATGTGCCAGGCACTGGGCTAAGTCCTTGGGAGTCCAAGGAAGGCAGACCCACAGCCCTTGCCCGCTCCCATTCTCACGAGAGAGTCAAGATACAAACAACTAGACAGGAGATGCAGAGGGGAGAAGGATGATCATCTGAAGCTGGGAAAGACTCCCTTCTTCCATAGTCAACCTTCCACGACTAGCAGAAGGCCACCAGTTTCTTAGCTGATCTTACCAGAGAATGGACCTAAGACCTTTCACCATCTGGGTTGCCCTCCTCTGGACACCCTCCTATGTCCTTCCTCGCTGCTCAGAATTTGAACACAGGTCTTCCTTTCTCACCCAAGTTCAGTACTCGTTCTGCTGCATTTGCAGAGGCAGACAGTAATTATAAGAGAGTAAAGTAGTATAGAGTCAGTCAAAAGTAAAAAAATATTGCACAGCTGGGGGGATCATTAGACAGAGCTCCAGGCCTGGAGTCAGGAAGACCTGAGTTCAAATTTGACCTCAGACACTTACAAGCTGGGTGACTCTGGGTAAGTCACTTCACCTCTGCTTCAGTTTACTCAATTGTTACTTAGGAATAACAGTAGCACTTCCCTCCAGGGGTTATTGTGAGGCTCAAATGAGATCATATTTCAAAGCTCTTAGCACAGTGCCTGGCACATAGCAGCTGTTCTGGAAATGCTTTTCCACATCGGTTCCCTTCCCTTAATATACCATGATGCTATCAATTACTATCAGCAGTGCAACAAATGAAAAGAGTGGAGCTCACGCCTTTAAAGTTTAAGACAGCGAAGACCCAAATTCTCTGGAAAGATCTAGAAGAAACTGCAAAGTTAATGTTGGTCTTCCACATGGAAATGACAAACTCATTCAGCTGTGGGGTTGCCATGGTCTTGCTCCATGTGTCTGCATGTTTTAAACAATTTTTAAGCAACATTATTTCACATAGGAAGATCCCACTCTGGGAAATGAGCTTCCCGAGGTGACCCTATCTCTGGCTGACCGGCCAGTCCCGCTAATGCCGAGCCGTGGGCCCCAGGGGCCCAGGCTTTTGTCCCCTTGATTTGGTCACTGAGGGATAACTCAGTGCCTTCCATTAAGGCCAGATTTCCACAAATACAGGGCTATGTACACATACTGCCAGCTGATAAATCACCATGCCGGGAAAGAAAAGTCTTCCGTTTCCACTTAAGACCAGTCGTGTTTGGTTTGCCTCTTATGGGGGGAAATGGTCATCGGGCATTTTCATTAAGTTTCCCTTCCATGGTTCAGTAATGAAAATGTTCCATCGGAGATGACACTATTAAGTCAGCAGGGTATAACTGTCAATACAAAGCAGATTTAATACGTGGAATCCCAAGAACTGGCATTTTTTAATAGGGCTGAAGTGTGGGGTGGAGAAGGGAACATGGCCTTTAATTCTTTAACCTTTCCATTAAAAAAATGGCTGGATTCTGCCCACCCCACAAGCGCTTGAGCCCCGAGGCTCAGTGGTGACTGCAGGAGGGTCTGTTCTGAGCTGCTTCCTCCTCCATTAGTCTGAAAGGCAGAGCCAAGCTTCCAGTTAGGAAGTTAAATAGCTAGGGCACTGTCCGTTCTCGTTCCTCTTCATCCACCAGCCTTCGAAGTCTGTGGGTAGAAACGAAAGCCAGATTTTCAAATGCATCTCGTGGTTTTCCTTTTTGGAAAAACAAATGTCTCATTGTGAGCTTTATTCTCCCTTTAGGTATCACCTGGCTCAGGTAAGATCAATGGGGAGCTTGGGTAGATGGGAATCTCGTGTTTTCTTTCAGTTTCTCTCTTGGAAATGGTGGGGGCTTAAGTCTGCCGGGACCGTCTTCTGAGCCTCTGTCTTGTTGCTCGTGGCGAATTAATGATGTGAATGTCTAAGGAGCGTCAGATCCATAAATCACCAGAAATGGGCGGGATAACACATAAAAGTCTTTCCCTTTTGTTTAGCAATTCATCACTTTGTTTGCACATTAATAAACAGCGCTCCCCTGAGGTAAGCTAGTGCAAGATAAATATTTCTCCCTAATTTCCTCAATTGTAGCTAGTAGATCACAGATCGGAAGAGTGGAGCTTGTCAAGGGGAGCTGCCACAGATGCTTGTGTGTGTGTGTGTGTGTGTGTGTGTGTGTGTGTGTGTGTGTGTGTATCCCTGGGCTGCCGCTGTCTTTCTTTTACTTTCCCAGCACGTGCCCAGGAGTAATAGATAACCAGGTTCTTGGTACAATCAGATGTAATTGGGCCTGGTTTTGTTTATATAATAGGTACCAGATTCCCCAGCCCCAGGCTGTCCACGAGACCAAGCAGAAAACGGACGCTGTCCATCTCCCCGCTGTCTGACCATAGCTTTGACCTTCAGACCATGATAAGGACATCCCCCAACTCCCTGGTCACCATCCTCAATAATTCCCGCAGCAGCTCATCGGCCAGCGGCTCCTACGGTCACTTGTCAGCAAGTGCAATAAGGTACGTGTACATTTACTCAGCCTGAGTCTTTCTAGCTTTTTGTAGGATCTCACAAAAGCTCGAGTGAGTCTGCACCCAAACGAAAACCTGAGGCAGCACGTGCTGCAGCCCCATGGCCTCCGCAGAGCCATGCCTAGCACAAAACCCCTTATAATGAATCCCTAAACCAACTCTGAACAGCAGGGAAAGCATTCCCTAAGTGCAGAGGGAGAAGACTTGGATTTTCTCAATACAACACAGCTCTGGAAGGGGAGGATTTGAGGGGACAGTTTTTTTTTTCTTGTTCTCCAAATAATGGTTGTTCATGATAGTGAAAACTGGTTGGCATCCAGCAGTGGGGTCTTGGGAATCATATGGGAGCACATCATGACATTGCCCTCCTCCTGAAGAGAGATGGCAGTTAAAGAAGGAAATTGGGGCATTTTCCTTGGGAGAAAGCATGAAAGCAGTCAGTGCAACCTCTCCAAACAGGGAAAATGGAGCTATGACAATCAATTAGTCATGACTTAACCTGATGCTTTCTCCATGTTCTTGAAAATGACTGTGTCATCACGAGAACTTATTTCTAGATGATCTGAAGAAAGTCTGCTTTCTTTGGGAGGCAGCCTTGTGTAATGGGAAGGGTAGGGGTGGGGGTTAGAACTGAGCCTCCCAAGATGGGGATGCCCAGCTGCTCCTTAGCTGTAGGACATCTGGGAAACTCCTAAAGTTCTTTGACCTCTGTTATGGTCTTAGTTATGTAGGTGGTGAGTAAGATTTGGATGAGATCATTCATATGAGGACACTTTGTTATAGCAAAGTGCCAAAGGGAATTCTCCAGTCTTGCCTGCTCTTCTCCAGGTGGGCAGTCTCTCCACTGGAGCAAATTGCAACCTACTCATGTCTTCTCAGCCTGTGCAGCTGTTGGCTTTGTCTGCCCACTTGTTTTTCAAAGAAATAAAGTCCCTTTTTTCTGTCTTAAAAAAAATAATTAGAGTGTTTTGCCTCTACTTGAAATTTCATAAATGGGAAGAAATCCCTGGTGTAGAAATCCCTTCACCAAAATAGATAGGCAACTCCTCTGGAACATCTATAATGTAGTCTTACTGAGTATCACGTTCTCTAAGTGATCAATAAGACCCGCAACACTGGATCTATCCTGCAAGGCCAATGAAGACGCATCCCTCTGGCTCCACTATTTTCTTTTTCTTATCCTCATTTCACTTCCCATTCCCCACCCACCCACCAAAGTCTTTGGATCCAGAGCTCCCAGAACATGGTGTGGCATCCAATCAGTACTTAACTAAATGGGCACTGGGTCACTGATCCTCTCCTCTCTACTTCCTTCAAGTCAGACCCTAAAGTATTCTTACATTTCAAAAGCCATTAAGTGAGTCTTCTGGGGAGAAAGATGGAGAGAGAGAGAGAGAGAGAGAGAGAGAGAGAGAGAGAGAGAGAGAGAGAGAGAGAGAGAGAGAGAGAGAGAGCTGCTCTTACTGTAGGGTATAGAGAGGGTACATATTGAGGAATTACAGTCAGCCAGAGTCAGGGTGCCAATGGAAACCACCCCACTCATGGCAGAAGGCCAATGCCACCTTTATTAGCCATACCAGCTGAGCCTCCAGAAAATGGTTCCCTGAGTCTCCAACGTCTTGGACTGGCACTGATTGTAGTCTAGATCTTCAGGAAGCCCGGCCAGCTCCTGAGGCATCATCATTAGATGCCATGGCACCCACATGTTTTTAGATTGGCCCCAAGAACACCAGGCAGCTGTGCTTAGCTTCTGCACGTGTCTCATGCCTCAGCTGGAGAGCATGTAAACACAAGGGGAGTGTCTGGGCTGATGTTCTATAGAATATTCATTTTTTAAACAGTGAACAAAGCCAACCTTTCTTTCACGAAGAGACCTCCAGGTTCATACAGCTCTACTCCCTCAATTCAGAGATAGAAAGACTGAGGCCGAGGGAGTTGAAGCAACTTGCCTGGCTTTGCACAGGTATGAAGTGACTGAGCTGCATCTCAAGCCCAGTCCACTCCAAGTTCAGTGCTCTTTCCCCTGAATTCAGTCAACATGCATTAATTAAGCACTGACTGTATAACAGACACCGTGCTACGTGCTGCAGCTACAGAATGAAGCATGAATTTTGGCTCTCTGTTTCTCCATGCTTTTCGCTCTTTCCCCGCCCCCCCGTCTGAGGATTTCATTCCAAACTTCAAACCTTTTGAGTTGAGGGATTTTCTAAGGTGGCTGATAATATTGAAGCTGATCTCACTGGTTCCCAAGACCTTTCTTGGTAGTTTATCTGTGGTCCTCTCTAACCTCCTCCTCTCCCCCAGGTAACACAAGTCTGTGCCAATTCAAAGAGCTGGGGCTTAGATAATACCTGTCCCATCCCCATGACATTGAAGGGGTTTTTGTCAGAAGAAGAGGGGACCTGTGAGGAGTCCAGGGGTAGAGTGGATGCCAAAGTGAGGAGGTCTCTGTGGCAGGTAGAGGAAGTCCAAAATCTCAAAGTGGAATCTGGAGAGGAAGGAAGGCACCAGGCTTGCCTGAGCACGTTCCCTATAATGGAAGTTCTGGGAGGACCTAGCCAGTTGGTTGACATTCATTCTGCAACCGAACAGATGTTGGGAAGGAAACTCATTGTCACCAACTCTTCCCTTGCCTCTGCATTATATTGTGTCAGATGATATTGCAATATAACTAACATAATAATAATGCAGTCATGATGATGGTCTTCTAGCAGGCAAAGGCAAGGATAGGAATGGTTAGGAGGAAGAGAAAGGAAATATACTGGCTGAGATGCGCAGCAGAGAAGGAAGAGGAAATACACCAATTGTCTCGAGTTTGTCTAGGGCTTAGATTTCATATGGCATTGGTAGGGCATGGGGCACCTATGCTATTTAGGTGGGTACAGATACATCTTAAGGTTGCTTGTCAGATGGCAGCTCAGACTAGCCGCATCTGGCTACAAGTATGTGAGCATGCATGTGTGTAACTTCATAGAGAGTTCTCTGAAAGACCTGGAACAAGGTGTCTACCTAGGTGGTGTATAATGGAGCACCGTACCTAGCTTAGGGAAATGCTGAGTTCTAATCCTACCTTAGCCACTTATTAACTGAGACACCCTGCATAAGCCACTTAGCCTCAGTTTCCTCATGTGTAAAATGAGGATAATAATAACACCTCCATTTTAGCCTTGTCGTGAGTAGGCTGGAGGTCATGCTCCCACATAAGACAAGCTTGCTTTCAGCCTTAACACTCCACACAGATGCTGTGCCCCCCTCGTTGATGTTCCAGATGGGCTTCTGGCCAGGATCTCTGCAGTAGGAGCCCTCCCATTCTCCTTGGGCCACCCTTGACGTGGCATCATCCAGCTGGAGTGGCACAAGTCTGAGCAAGCTTTCCTTTGGAGCCAGCGCTGACAAGCTCAGCCTGGTGATGGAGCCCTGGCCACATTTTGCTGCTGTAGGCATCGTCTCCTACCATCCCTGGCAATAATAGGGATGGCATCCAGCCGGGGCTGGTGCTGGGTGGGATGGTGCCTGGGGCAGGAGAGAAGCCAGCTTGCTTTCTCCTAGCTGTATTGGCTCTCAGGTGATGACAGGAGGGGAAGTGGGCTTTCTGCAGAAGAGCCAAAGCAAATAGCAGTTGGGGCACATCACAAAGCAGAGAGGCCACAAGGGCCAGGTTTCCTCGTGTCCTCAGAAGGCTCTGAATTTTTGTTCCCAGTCAGTGCCTCGTGCAATGCCTTGGGTTGGGTTTCTTGGTTTCTTCAGTGGAAGATGTGATGGAGGCTAAACGTTTTCTGATGAATCTTATTTTGGAATTGTACTCACAGCCATCAGGGACATTGTGGTATAATGCACAGAAAGGGCCCCAGAGTCAGAAAGATTCAGGTTCAAATCCTGCCTTGGACACACAGGCTAAGTCCTCCTGGGCAAGTCACTCTGCCTCAGGGGCGCTGGTACAGAGGGCATCTTCACCAGGACCTGCATAGACCCCTGGCAGGTCTGGTGTCAAGGAGTTTTCTGGACAGGGGGCCCACATGGGCTGGCCTCTTGGCATCTTCCACTCCTAATCCCCCATTCTTCCTTGCTCCTGGTTCTGCCTCCGGGCCAAGCAGAATAAGGCTGATCTGTGTTCCACCTAACAGTCCTTGGAGACAAGTGGAGTGGGTCATGTCCCTCTGGGTCTTCTCTTTGCAGAATAAACTTCCCTGTTCCTTCAGCTTATCCTCAGAGAGCCTAAACTTAGAACCCCATCAGATTAACAGTCACTTAGTCCAGAGTCCAGGGACCTGAGATCAAAACCAAACTCACCTGCTTACTGGGTGACCTTGAGCAAGTCACTCATTCCTTAGGGCCTCAGTTTCCTCATTGGTAAAAATGAAGGGGTTGGACTATATGACATCTGAGGGTCTTCTCATTTAGCATTTATGATCCTATGAGCCTTCCCATTCTGGGAGCTCTTCTGGATGATTCCCAGCCTGCCAATGCCTTTCCCAAGCTACAGTACAGCTGTGGTCTGACCAGGGCAGTGAATAGGCCATGACTTCATTTCCCCTGCTCCTCAATGCAGCCCTAGATCCCCTCGGCTTTTTTTGCCTATCCTATTGTGCCGTTGATTCATACTGAGACTGCACCCATGGAAGCTGCCAGCTCTTTATCAGACAAAGTGCTAGCTTAGCCAACCTCCCCCAGTAAAGCAAAAGAGATGATGGTCTTTCTTTGAAATGTTAGGAAGCCACGTCCAGATTCATGCAAAGCACTAGAGAAGTGTGGCATTGTCGCTCTGAGTTGGGCAACCCCCTCTGTGCCCCTCAGCACACCCTGGTCCTGGACCAGAGTTTTCCTATGAGTTTCCACACTGAGCTTCATGGAAACAAAGAGAATTTTTTCTCCTCATGAGAAAAACAGATATGTGTATGTATGCGCAAAAAATAAATAAATAAATAAGATCGACATTTTCCTGTTCCACAGAGGACTGCAAAGAATTGTTTGAACCAAAGTGCAGCTGG